TGCCGATGCAGGGGACACGGGTTCGTGCCCTGGTCCGGGAAGATCCCACATGCCGCGGAGCAGCTGGGCCCGTGAGCCATGGCCAATGGGCCTGCGCGTCCGGAGCCTGTGCTCCGCAATGGGAGAGGCCACAACAGTGAGAGCCCCGCGTACTGCAAAAGAAAAAAAAAAGAAACAATGCTTTAAGCATTCTACATTCTGATACAATATTTATAAGGTATATCTAGGTGCCATATTGTGATTTAGGAAATCGGTAGTTTTTCGATTCACTTGCTAGTCCTTATCATTTTTCTTTAAAATAATGGAAACAGGTTTTCCTTAGAGTGTTCACAGAGATAATCTGACATCTAAGGTACAGGATACTGACATTAATGGCAGAGGACTTTCCAGTCTTAGTTTTAGATTTGTAAATACCTTCCAAACTACTTAAGTTCTATTCTTCCAAATCTTATAGTAAAACTGATGCTCCATAAGGTTGTACTACAAATATTCTGCTGTTTTGTGTCCTCTCTGCATAGAATTGGGGCTGTGCAAACACCAGTTTGAGAAGCACGTAGTAGTACGGCACTTGGAGTTGATCAGAAAACTTAGATGGAAAAACGCATTATCACTATAATCTCCAATAGCAAGAAATTCTTAAAATCGGTTCCAAAAGGATATTTTTAAAAGCATCTTGAAAGTGGTTCTGAAGGAGTCTTAAGGAGCCCTATTAAAGGTATTATGTATTACCTTTAGACACAAACTTCCTTAACAATTTGGGAAGGAGCAACCTGGGGCCTAGAGGAAGGATTCTGGCAAGAGAACTAATTTCAGGTAGGGTACCTTGCAGGTAACCATCAGCGAGCTTCTGCGTAGGCCCCCCAGAAGCCTAGGCCCGCTCCCAGCACTAGCCCCGCCCCTACCCGGGACCGCCTCAACACGTGCGGCGTGCCTGCACTGCGCATGCCCGCGGGGAAGGGGCGGGGCGAGCCGAACGCTGGCAGGACCTGCGTGCGGAAGACCATGGCCATGCTGTGTCGGCTGCGAGAGGTGCCCCGGCACTTGCTGGTCTGCGAAAAGTCCAACTTCGGCCACGAGAAGTCGCGCCACCGGCACCTCGTGGAGACGCACTATCACAACTACAGGGTGAGTCCACATCCCGGGCCCGCGGACCGCACACCATCCCGCCGGCGGTGGAGGCTTGGCGAAAGCCGCGCTCTGCTCCCCCGCCCTCGGCGCGTGGAGGGGGCGGGGGCCCTCGCCAGGCATGCTGGGAACTGTAGTCTCTAGCCGCTCCAGGCCTGTGGTTTGCCCCTCCTCAGGATCACAAGTCCGAAGATGCACCGGCGCGGGGCGGTGTTCCGCCTTCGGAGGGAGAAGCAGGTTGGCGTGCGCCTGACAGAGTTCGCCGCGCCTCTGGCCGCTTACTCCTGCCCCGCCCCGCTGCGGGTGGGGTGCGTCCCGGGGAGGGGCGAGGCGGGGACCAGGCACTGGCGGGTGTGCCCCGCAGCCCGGGACGGACCCGCCCCTTCCCCATCCCGGCTTCCTTCCCCCGCCGCGCGGCGGAGGGTCTTTGCAGATCCTCGTGCGGAGTCCGGGAAGCTGCTTGCCCTTCTGAACCGATTATGGGCGCTAGTTTGATACCTGAGAAATCTCCCCCTTTGCCTGCTGCCTTCTGCGTTGTCCAGCCAGAGTGCACCATTTCGGCAGCTCTTGCAGAAATTCGCCGAGGCTTCCCTGCTCGCATGCGCAACTTCAGAGCGATTTTCGCTGTTGCTCCGTGAAAATGTCACCCTCTCGGGCGCCTTTTTCGCGAATGTGGTGGTTGAAGCATCGGTGAGGTTAATTATCAGTTTATCCAGGATCTGCTGAGAGTAGAAGAGAACATTCCTAATTCCCAGGTAGTGTCTGCTGGGCGGGCTTCACCAACCCAGTTAAGTGGAGAGGGCTTCAGAATAAACCTTACAATGAAAATGCTTTAAGCCTTTTCCACTTTAAATAGACCAGCCTAATCTCAACTCAGGCCTGACTGGCTGGTTTCTCAGACACAACTGGTGACCCTGGTCCTTCAGGGACAAACTGGTGTCCCAGCTTTGGGAGAGTGGTTTTTCAAGGTGTAGAGCACCTGGGCGACGTTTGAAACCTGTCAGGTTGATTATCTCTGCTTTGGATGGAAAGCTCATCACAGACAGCAGTCGGGGATGTGTACCTTATCTCTCCCGTCCCATCTGTAGAGTTTTTCTTTCTGTAAAGTGTAAACATCCAGCAGACTTCTGCTTCCATGTAACCTCTTAATAACTGGTGTCCCTAAATTCCTTATGCCCTAAGGAACAGTTCCTTTGATTCCAGCCTGGTACTAGGATACACAGATCTAGGGATATTCAATTGTACTATATTTCCCTAAAAATTAATTAATGTAGTGATAGGAACGGGACATAAAATATATTGCTCATTTGTAAAAGATGAAACACAAGCAAGGGCTTCCGTGGTGGCACAGTGGTTGAGAGTCCGCCTGCCGATGCAGGGGACACGGGTTCGTGCCCCAGTCCGGGAGGATCCCACATGCCGCAGAGCGGCTGGGCCCGTGAGCCATGGCCGCTGAGCCTGCGCGTCCGGAGCCTGTGCTCCGCAACGGGAGAGGCCACAGCAGTGAGAGGCCCGCGTACCGGGGGAAAAAAAAAATTGTTTTGCTCATTCACCTTTCCTGTACTGTAAGCTTGAATACAGAAATGGAAAACTTGAGTTGTCAAATGTCTCTTTTCCTGAGATTAGTAAGTTTTTTTGTTCTGTTTTTTCTATTTTTATTTTTAAAATTTTTATTGGAGCATAGTTGCTTTACAATATCGTGTTAGTTTCTACTGTACAGCAAAGTGAGTCAGCTATACGTATACATATAGCCCCTCTTTTTTGGATTTCCTTCCCATTTAGGTCACCACAGAGCAGAGCAGAGTTCCCTGTGCTATGCAGTAGGTTCTCATTAGTCATCTATTTTATACATAGTATCAATAGTGTATATATGTCGATCCCCATCTCCCACTCTGAGATTGGTAAGTTAATTTCAGATGTTTTTTGAAAGCTGTGGAGTAATGGTTAGCAGCCTTCATGATGTATCATCCCTAAAAACCTGGGTGTTGATCTACATGAAAATAAGACTTGTTTAAACTTATAATGGAGTATAATTTGCAAAAATACTGAATCACTATGCTGTACACATGAAACTAATGTAATATTATAAGTCAGCAATGCTTCAGTTAATAAGACTTGTTTATATTGCACATTCCAATAGGTTTCATTTCTGATTCCTGAATGTGGGATACTGTCAAAAGAACTGAAGGACCTGGTCATGGACTCTGGACCCTATTACTTTGTGAAGGATTTACCTCTTCATGAGTTAATCGCACACGAATTCATCAATACTTTTGTCAAGAAAGGTAAGGAAAGCCGTGTAGTGTCTATGAACGCGGTGAGGTGAGGAAGTCCAGGGAGATCGCATAGCAATACCAGGGTCCTTCTCTTGTTCTGAATAGGACTGCTGGAGATCGCCTGTGTGGTCCGGTGTGTGCATCCCTCCCTCCGTCCCGCAGTAGCTCCGCCGACTCTGTGTGCCCTCATTCGGTGGTGGTTTCTGATTGCGCTGGTCCACAGGTGTTGTGTGGGAGTGTGTCGTATGAGGGTTAATGGAAAGGAAAATCTTCGACCGCTGTGTTCAGATGCGCTGCCATTGGGTGTGTGGCTGCAGAGACAGACCGCTGTTCTCCCCGCAGTCCCCATGACAGCTGTCTGGAGAGGGTGGTCTCCTGATGCAGCCACAGCTGCTGGCCCCAGAGTCAGGTGCTGATTGGGGCTCAGCATCTTCCGCTTAGCCGTTGTGGCTCTCAGCCTCGCCTGCGCACCTCATTCCCATCTGTGTCAGCTGGGTGGATTGGCTTGTTCCAGTTATATCCTAGGAGCCACTTGTTTGAAACTATTTCAGCGTGTCTTTAGGGACCCACCCTCACTATATACATCACTGCACAAGGGCCACTGACATCTTGTCTTTGGTCACACGGACATGATTCCTTTCTTCAGTTCTGAAGCTTGTTGCTGGGGGATTCCCTGGCGGTCCAGTGGTTAGGATTCCTCGCTTTCACTGCTGAGGACCCGGGTTCGATCCCTGCTCGGGCAGCTAGGATCCCACAAGCTGTGTGGTGTGTTCAAAAAAAAAAAAAAAGTCTGAGGCTCTTTTGGTAACAGTGTGGACACTGGCCATGGCAGGGACTTTTACATAGCTGACCCAACTTAACCCTGGCAACAATACTATGAAATAAGCCTGCAACGCCCATTGTACAGGTGAGAAAAATGAGGCTCAGAGAGATTGAGTAGCTTTCTTGACTTCACACAAGTTTGTGGCACATGTTGAGTCTTCATCTGGAACTCTGCCTTTCAGGTGTGTACGCTCACCCGCTTTTCCACTTTGTGCCCCTCTACCAGCATCCCCGGAGGTATGTGCTCCATCCTGAGTCCATTTTCTGCTCGTTGGTAGCCAGGTTGCACAGATAGGCCCTAGGCAGGGGTGTGAACTAGCTGTGCTTGGCCTTGCGTGTCCTCCAGCTTGGCTGAGTGAGCTGGAGCAGTGACCCGGAAGATTTGTTATCCTGTGAAAATAATTCACTAACTTCTTGCAGGTGTGATTTTTTTCTTAATTTCTCCTCTGGGTTTTCTCTTACAGGTGCGTGCTATGCACTAACGTACAACACAAATATTGACGAGGATAATACTGTGGCCCTGCTACCAAACGGTAACCACACTCATTTTTTCTTCTTTCTTAATTATGGAGGAAACACAAACAGTAAAAAAGAAAGAGTCAAGTCATTCGGATGTGTGTAAAGTGAAAGTCCCCCCTTTCATCCCCGTCCCTCCAAACTCACTGCCATTCTCAGCAGGCATTCTTTTTTTTTTTTAAAGAATCAATTTTATTTATTTATTTATTTTTGGCTGCATTGGGTCTTCGTTGCTGCGCGCCGGTTTTCTCTAGTTGCGGCGAGCGGGGGCTACTCTTCATTGCGGTGCGCGGGCTTCTCATTGCTGTGGCTTCTCTTGTTGTGGAGCACAGGCTCTAGGCATGCGGGCTTCAGTAGTTGTGGCTTATGGGCTCAGTAGTTGTGGTGAACGGGCTCTAGAGCACAGGCTCAGTAGGTGTGGCGCATGGGCTTTGTTGCTCTGCAGCACGTGGGATCTTCCTGGACCAGGGCTCGAACCCGTGTCCCCTGCATTGGCAGGCGGATTCTTAACCCCTGCGCCACCGGGGAAGCCCCTCAGCAGGCACTCTTGTTAGCAGGTAGGTGTTCATTCTTCTAGACATTTTCTATGAATTTATAAACACATACAGGTTCTTTTTTTAAAATATATATATATTATGTCATAGTCCATTGTTTCTCAGTTTGCTTTTTTCCCAGGCTGTATATCCTAGACATCTTTCCCTATTAGTACATACAGTTTTTTGGGGGTTTGTGTTGTTTTTTTATTTCATTTATTTTTGGCTGTGTTGGGTCCTGGTTGCTGCACGCGGGCTTTCTCTAGTTGCGGCGAGCCGGGGGCTACTCTTTGTTGTGGTGCGCGGGCTTCTCATTGCAGTGGCTTCTCTTGTTGCAGAGCATGGACTCTAGGCGCGTGGGCTTCAGTAGTTGTGGCTCACGGGCTCTAGAGTGCAGGCTCAGTAGTTGTGGTGCATGCAGGCCCAGTTGCTCTGCAGCATGTGGGATCTTCTTGAATCAGGGCTCAAACCTGTGTCCCCTGCTTTGGCAGGCAGATTCTTAACCACTGCACCACCAGGGAAGCCTAGTACATACAGTTTTAATTTACTCTTTTTAATGTCTTGAAAATATTCCAAAGAAGAAGTATACCATAATTTGTTTACTCTTTCTTTAATAAAAACTTCGATAGTTTCTAGTTTCACTCTAATAAATGATGTCTTTGTACATATAATTATAAATAAGACCCTTGTATTATACATAAGGCCCTTGTGTGCACTGGTATTTAACTGCCCAATTTGTCTTGCTTTCTCTTAGAGAACACATTATATTTTTAACATCTCTTATGGGAATTATTATTTGATTTATAGGGAAATTAATTTTATCACTGGATAAAGACACTTATGAAGAAGCTGGACTTCAAGGTCGTCCATCTCAGTATTCTGGCAGGAAGACCATGAAGTTTAGTAAGTATTACGCTCACTCCATCAGTTTCTAACAAGGTAGTAGTCTTCCTGTAACAATTTGAACTTAAATGTTTGAATTGCCTCTGTTCTCTTTGTTCAGAAGAAGTGTGGCTTTTTCTTGTCTTTAAGACTCCTTACTCCAGGGACTCTCGGGTGGGCATCAGATAGGATGAGATAGATACTGCTGTGCATCTGTTTGTCTTCAGCTGTCGGCTGCATCTTGAAAAGATCACAGACTTGGACATGTTCCATTAGATACATATGTTTTGGGTCACAAATTCAAAGTGATGAACCCACTTGTTCTTTTTTTTTTTAAATTGAAGTATAGTTGATTTACAGTGTGTTAATTACTGCTGTACAGCAAAATGATTCAGTTATACATATATGTACATTCTTTTCCATATTCTTTTCCATTATGGTTTATCACAGGGTATTGAATATAGTTCTTTGTGCTATACAGTAGGACCTTGTTGTTTAACCAGCCTATATATACCAGTTTGCATCTGTTCCAACTTGTTCTTAGTAAAGAATTTCCTTTAATTTTCCCAAGTTTTATGTTGACTAGTAGAAATTCACCCATGAGTGAAGAGATGTAGTTCTGTTGATGGTCTGGCTTGAACATCAGTAGTTACGGCTGCCACCTCCACAGCTAGGTTAGAGTTGATCTCTGCCCTTGGTCTTTGACTACGAAAAATGTGAATTTAAAACACCTGTTGTGGGACTTCCCTGGCGGCCCAGTGGTTAAGAATCTGCCTGCCAGTGCAGGGGACACAGGCTTGAGCCCTGGTCCGGGAAGATCCCACATGCCGCAGAGCAACTAAGCCCGTGTGCCACGACTACTGAGCCTGCACTCTGGAGCCCGTGAGCCACAACTACTGAGCCCACGTGCCTAGAGCCCATGCTCTGCAACAGGAGAAGCCACCGCAATGAGAAGCCCGTGCACCACAACGAAGAGTAGCCCCCGCTCACTGCAACTAGAGAAAGCCCACGTGCAGCAACAAAGACCCAACGCAGCCAAAAATAAAAATAAAAATAAATAAATTTTAAAAATAGATAAAACACCTGTTGTAATTATCTCTCAATGCCAGAAATGTCCATCAGAGGCAGAGTTTTGGTTTGGGAACCCAAAGGGAGGGCAAGAAATACAAAATAACTTTTTTTATCCATAAAACTTCTAAAACTCCTGATGTTTTAATCTAGCATGTTTTGCACAGTGCACGCTGTGTGTATATGAATGAACTGTTTATTCCTCTCCATTTTTTGAAGTTGTTTCCATTGATTTGATGGATTTATCCTCTAAACTGGACTCTAAGAAGTATAAAAGAATATCTTGGGCTTTCAAAGAAAAGAAACCATTGAAATTTGATTTTCTTTTGGCGTGGCATCAAACAGGTATGAAAAATAAAATGTGTAGCGATGGAGTGGTTTTGAAATCTAATGGTTAATTAAAGGGGAGTAGTGAGAGAATGGTGATTCACCCCAGTGGTCAGGGATGTTGTGCACGTAGATGGATACAGGTGTCCCCCACTTTTCGAACGTTCACTTTATGCTCCTTTACTTTTTACAAAAGCAAAAAGTGAAAATAGTGTTCAGCGTGTGTTTTGCAGTGAGCTGCTATAGAGGCAGTGTGCACCCCAGCAGCGAGAGCGACACCCCCAGCTCCCTCCCCCAGAACTGCACTCAGCGTCTTAGCCTCTAGCCGGCAGAGGTTTGAACTGTGTCTTTGAGCGTTTATTTCATGCATCTGTTAGCAAGATGTGTCTTAAGGTAATTGCTTCTTCGCTTTATGCCATTTCGACTTAATGAAAGGTTTTGTAGGAACACTACTTTGCGTTGGGGGGAAACCTGTAAACGTTGTTAAGGAAACTGCTTTGACCCCTCTGGCATCCCTGAGAGCCATAGTCCGGGATCATCTCGGCATGCAGCCGTCTGTCTCCACCTCCTTGGGTTGTGTGTCGATCAGGAGCTCCTGAGGGTGGGGTCTCGGGCAACTAACCTTTGTCCATTTCTCCCTTTCCCTCCTCCAGCTTCCCTCCCGCAGCCTTGGCTGGAGTGTTTTAAAATAACACCAGTTATACTGCTAGACACAAACTGCTTACTCGTTATTGCAGGGTAGTAATCAGGCATATCATTAAATGTCAGATTAAATTTGTTGTACCTTTTAATTGATTAGAATAATACATTTAGTTCAGAGTTTGATGTTCACCAAACATTTTAATCGGCTTACAACTACCATGTACCTCGCTCCTTTTAGAAGTGTACCTTTGGCCCAAAACAAGATTAAATGAATCAAATCTTCACAATTACAATGGTGTAGTTCTCTCTTGGAGAAGAGGGAAGCCCCTAGGTCCGTTTTGGAAATAGGTCCATCTGTCTGCTCCTCCTGGAAAGTTCGTGGTCACTGGGTGCTACAGGGTTGCCTGGGTGAGGCCTAGGTCTGTAATACTTGGGTGCTGCTTCTGTGTGTGGTGCAGACACAGAGGGCAGAGAGGCTGGCATCTCAGTTGTAGGAAGTCTTTACTGGGGGCCTCCTATGCAGTGGGTTCTGGAGACCAGTGTGTTCCTCAGACTCCGAAGTATTTTAAGGGCTTGTCAGGACCTGTGAAGCACCTGAGATTTTACCCGCTTAGCAAGCTAAGAAGTTAGCCAGCACATTCTCGTGCGCTCTGGCAGGAGACACGAGACCCCTGGGTCAGAGACAGAAAACCTAATGATTCCCAGCAGTAGCAGTGGGCAGAGCACCAGCGTTTGCTCCAGCTCACCAAGTCCTGGTTCCTGCAGGGTGATGCATGGTGGGCAGGTGATGCTGGTGCAAGCAGGGGGTTGCATTACAGGAGGGGAGCCTGGAGCCTAAGGAATTCAGATCTTTTATATTGGGCGGTGAGCCTGCTGACCTTTGCCCTGGAGGGGGGGAGGAGGTGGAGGGAGACATTATTTCTAATACACTGGGCAGTAAGCAGTCCTGCCCTCTGCTCCAAGAGGGCCACTGTTTCCGTCTTCCAGGGAAAATCCTTCAGGATACGCTGGATCTTACTGGGGTTTAAAGGCAAGCTGGGCTGAGATTCCGTCTTCAGCTCCTCTTCTGCTTCCTTCTTCGGGAGTGTGCCAGTGTGCTGCTTTCCCTGTAGGTTCACTGATTGGTCGAAACATAAGGAATGCTTTGATTACGTCAAACGTTTCTTAGTAGGGCAGCTGTTAAGACCAGCATGGCCTGACTGAAAGCCTTATGCCTTTCCAGGAAAAGTGTGACAGAAGAGGAATGCTGGCAGAACTTTGGCACAAGGAGGCGAAGGCAACTTAAATGATTTTGATTTGAGTAAAGCTTTGTACAACCTCCTCTGGCCTTACTTCATCCTGCCTGCTTCCTGAAACCCTCAAGTGGGAACGGGGTGGATTCAGAGATTCACTGAACTTGTGTACACTATTCAAGTGGCCTTATTTGGTGTGTTTGAAGGTGCGGAAGGATCAACGATGATGTCATACTTTTCCAATTACCGGATTCAGGAGCGTCAGCCAAAAATAGCGCTGAGCACGGTGACAGACCTGCCGTGCCCCGTGCTGCGGAGCGGCGAGCTCAGGGGCGAGCCGGAGGCGGCCTGCAGCGCCCAGGAGCTCTTCGAGTGGCTGGGCGCCGTCTTCAGTAACGCCGAGCTGTGCGTATGAGGGCTCCCGGGTCCCGGAGGGCTTGGGCTGGCTTCTCATTTTCAGCAGGGGTTTAGTACTTTGAAAGTGATCGTGTAGTGGATATAAATGCGTTTTCTTTCTCTTTCTTGGTTACAGAAATAATGAGCCTGATAATTTCATATCAACCTACTGCTGTCCTCAACCAAGCACAGTGGCGGCGAAAGCTTGCTTGTGTACAATCACTGGTTTCATCCTTCCAGAGAAGATACGTCTTCTGTTGGAACAGCTGTGGTGAGAAAAACGAACAGCCTTTTTTGCCATTTATGCCTTGCTTGTCTCCGCCTCTGTAGCGTTTTAGGGGCAGCAGTAATGATCCAGATTCCAGGGTCCTCTCACAGCGTGTCCCCCTTTTCCCTTGCTAGGGCTCACGTGCAGTAACGTTATCATCTCACATGAGGTAATTATCCCTGGTGATATTGCCAGGTCCTTGCCCTTTGAAAAGAAGAGAGCGGAGCTTTACTGTGCTTCTTGAGAACAAACTGCTCGTTTTTCTTGTTCCGCTCCCGCAGACCATTTCGGTGCAATTGAAGTTACAGTATCACTTAAGAAAACGGCAGTACTCTATGGAACACATTATGATCTGTCTTAAATACTGGATTTCTGCAAAATGCTTCACTTTGAAATGGGTGGGAAAAGGGGCTGACCACCTCCGAATCCAAATCATATCCAAAATCTGCCCTGGCTCTAACATCCGTGAATCACTGGGCACCGGTAACATGCCACGGGTTGTATAAAGTAGTACTGGATTCTCATTCTGGGAGGTGTTCTGTAAATGAAATGTGAGGAGGCTCAAATCCCGTATTGAAAAGAATATAAGGTGAGCATCACGCCTTCTGAGTCTTCACTTGAAAAAATGTCTAAGATTTAAGTGTTGAGGGTTTTCCTTTTTAAATCCAACATCCTCTTTCACATTTATTAGCTTTGTACTTTTATTTTCCTCAGTAAGAAGATTGAAGTTTTAAAAATTTGATGGATTTTAAAAAAGAAATTCGATAAATTACTCTGCAGTGTTTCAGTTTACAGAGTCTCCGAAAGCAGCACTGTTCAAGGGAGGGAAAGGATTCTTACACACTTGGTGGGGAATTTTTTGTTCTTTAAATCTTATACGCTCTTCCACGATAAGGGTAGGAACCGCTGAAGTTTGTTGTGTGCGCTGCATGTTGGTGAATCTTTACTGAATTCACAGTATAGCACCAGGAATTTAATTTCTGTCTCCTAATTTTTATAAATGAAAGCTAAGGTCAAAGCTTCATGGGAGCATCAGAAATACCGCTTATCCCGAATAAGTAAAAAGAAATAAATGGGACCGTTCCTAACTCTTCCTGTTTGTTAAGAAGTGTCTGTCTTTTTCAGTCGCTACTTTGATGAACCAAAGTTGGCCCCGTGGGTGACGTTGTCGGTTCAAGGCTTTGCAGACAGCCCTGTTTCCTGGAGAGAAAACGAACACGGTTTTCGAAAAGGAGGAGAGCATTTATACAACTTTGTGGTTTTTAGTAATCGGGACTACTGGCTTCAGTTGGCCGTTGGGGCAAATGATGACTGTCCACCATGACAAGCACAGAGTTTAAAGTCGTGTTTGTTTATGTTTATGCTCGTTTTCCGTATTTCTCGGCGGTATAAGGACCGTGTGTTCACTCAGACTTGGGTGATGAGGACATTTCTCAGATCAGCGTCCGTTAACATCTGCCCTGGACTCGGGCCCATCCTGTGACAGGCTTGCCGTCAGGTGGAAGCTCATAGTTGATTTCTCCCTGTCACTATGAGCCCAGGGTGTGGGCTACTGCGCCGTAACTTGGGCCACGATGGCCAGGGACCGGGGGTTATGGGACCACTGGGTAAGATGTGTGCTGTGATTGTGAGTTTCTCACATCATAATAACAAGAAATCCCTAACATCATACTTAGCAGAGCCAGTTCCTGCATTAGTGCTGTTCATCAATTACCTCATTTAATTCTCACATCAGTCCTGTGAGGGAACAGAGTGTACATAAGCTGCTGAAGTCACCTGCTTGTGGATTCAAGACTTGATCTCAGATCAGCTGGTTCCTGAGTGTGTGCTCACCCTCCTGCTTCTGGGTCAGGAGGGATATTTGGATACTGTATATTCATAAAGAACAAGTTGAATTTTGCAGTAACCTATAAGGGAAAAGAATCTGAAAAACATATATGTGTGTGTGTGTGTGTGTGTGTGTGTGTGTGTGTGTGTGTGTATGTAAAACCGAATCACTGGGGCTTCCCCGGTGGCACAAGTGGTTGAGAATCCGCCTGCCAATGCAGAGGACACGGGTTCGATCCCTGGTCTGGGAAGATCCCACATGCCACGGAGCAACTAAGCCCGTGCGCCGCAACTACTGATCCTGTGCTCTAGAGCCCGTGAGCCACAACTACTGAGCTCGTGTGCCGCAACTACTGAAGCCCACGCGCCTAGAGCCCGTGCTCCACAATGAGAGAAGCCACTGCAATGAGAGGCCAGCGCACTGCAACAAAGAGTAGCCCCCGCTCGCCGCAACTAGAGAAAGCCCGCACACAGCAACGAAGACCCAACACAGCCAAAAATAACTAAATAAATAAAATAAATTAAAAAAAAAACAAAACCGAATCACTGTGCTGTACACCTGAAACTGACATGACATCATAAATCAACTGTACTTCAATTAAAAAAAAAAAGTGACTTGCCTGGCGGTACAGTGGTTAGAACTCGTGCTTCCACCGCAGGGGGGCGTGGGTTCGATCCCTGGTTGGGGAACTAAGATCCCACATGCCACACAGCGTGGCCAAAAAATAAAAGTAAAAAACAAAGTTGAAAGAATTTTTTTTCTCCCAGCAATATGGCTGATAAGGTCCAACTGAAAACTACTTAAATTTCTGGAATACCTATCAAGAACCATTTTTTAAAATGTTTCAATGACCTGCAGAATAAGAATTCTCAAAAGCTAAATAATTTATTTGGCCACATGGAATTAAATTAGAAATCAGTAACAGAAAGGTCCTTGAAAATCCCCAAGTATTTGGAAACAAAATAACTCACAAGTCAAAGAACAAATCTAAAGAGAAATTAGAAAGTAATTTGAAATGACTTTTTTTTGTGTGTGTGTGGTACGCGGGCCTCTCACTGCCGTGGCCTCTCCCGTTGCGGAGCACAGGCTCCGGACGCACAGGCTCAGCGGCCATGGCTCACGGGCCCAGCCGCTCCGCGGCATGTGGGATCTTCCCGGACTGGGGCACGAACCCACGTCCCCTACATTGGCAGGCGGACTCTCAAGCACTGCGCCACCAGGGAAGCCCTGAAATGACTTTTTAAAAAAAAAAAACTAGAATTTGTGGATTCTTGCTAAAGCAGTACTTAGAGGGAAACTTGCAGCTTTAAATGCCTGTATTAGAAAGGAAAACAGGTCTCAAATCAGTGACCTCAGTTTCCACTTTAAGAAACAGTAAAAGAAGAGCAAATTAAATCCAAAGTTAGCAGAAGAAAAGGAATAATAAAGATCAAAGTGGTAACCAATGAAATAAAATAGAGAAAAATTAATCCAAAAGCTTGTTCTTTGGGAGAATCAATAAAATTGATAAATCTCCAGCCGGATTGGTGAGGGGAAAAAAAAGAGACCAATTACCAATATAAGGAATGGGAGAGGTAACGTGACTGAAGATCCCACAGATGTTAAAATAATAGGAACACCTTTATACCAATAAATTCAAGAACGTAGGTGAAATTGACAAATTCCTTGAAAGACACGAATTACCAGAGCTCACTCAAGAAGAAACAGGTAAAACCTTCCTATAACCCCAATGGGATGGCTTCAGTCTTGAGCTTTACCAAACATTTGAAGAAATAATACCAATTCTACACAAACACTGCCACTCATTCTATGGGGTCAGCATTACCCTGGTAGCAAAATTACCGAGGCATCCTGGCTGGGCAAACACATTGCAAGGAAAGAAAACACTACAAAACAAACATTCCTCATGAACATAGGTGCAAAAGTTTTAGTAAATTGAAACCTACGATATAATAAAAAGGTAATATGGCCATGGGGTTTATCCTGGGAATGCAGGGTTGATTTAACATTCACATAATCATTTCAATCAATACTAGAAACGTATTTAACAAAATCCACCATCTAGTCCTGTTAAAAACTCTGGCAAACTGGGAATAAAGGGGACTTCCCCAATCTGATTAAAAGGCATCTGCAGAAGCCCTACAGCTAACATCAGACTTAATTGTGAAGGGCTGAATACTTTTCCCCTAACATCAGGAAGAAATCAGGGATATCTCTGTTCATCATTGTAATGGAGATTCTAGACCGCAGTCAGGCAAGAAACAGAACATCCAGATTGGAAAGAAAAAAAATTGTCCTTTTTTCACAGATGACATGATCATCTATGTAGAAAATTCAGCGGAATCTATAAACAAGATATTAGAACTAATAAGTGAGTTTATCAAGGTTGCAGGATACAAAGCAGTGTACAAAAATCAATTATATTTCTATATGAACAATTAGAAAGTGAAATTAAAAATCATTTACAATAGCATAAAAATACTAGGTAGTTAGGAATAAATGACAAAAAATGTGAAAGACATACACTGAAAACTGTTAAATATTGCTATGATCAATTAAAGAAGACCTAAATAACTTGGGGTATATACTTTGTTCATGGGTCAGAAGACTCAGTATTGTTAAGACGTCATTTCAGGACTTCCCTGGTGGTGCAGGGGTTAAGAATCTGCCTGCCAATGCAGGGGACACGGGTTCGAGCCCTGGTCCAGGAAGATCCCACATGCCGCAGAGCAACTAAGCCCATGCAGCACAACTACTGAGCCTGTGCTCTAGAGCTCACGAGCCACAACTAATGAGCCCTGTGCCACAACTACCGAAGCCCACGCACCTAGAGCCCATGCTCTGCAACAAGAGAAGCCATCGCGATGAGAAGCCCGCACACCACAAAGAAGAGAAGCCCTCGCTCGCCACAACTAGAGAAAGCCTGCGTGCAGCAACAAAGACCCAACACAGCCAAAAATAAAAGTAAAATAAAATAAATAAATTTATAAAAAAAGATGTCATTCCAAAATACAGATTCAATGTAGATTCAATATAGTCCCAGCAGGCTACTTTCTGTGTGTGTACATAAGTTGACAAGCTGATTCTAAATTTTTTTTTTTTTGCGATATGCGGGCCTCTCACTGTTGTGGCCTCTCCCGTCGCGGAGCACAGGCTCCAGACACGCAGGCTCAGCGGCCATGGCTCACGGGCCCAGCCGCTCCGCGGCATGTGGGATCTTCCTGGACCAGGGCACGAACCCGTATCCCTTGCATCGGCAGGCGGACTCTCAACCACTGCGCCACCAGGGAAGTCCTGATTCTAAAATTTTTGTAGAACTGCAAAGGACCTAGAGTAGCCTCCAGGGCTGTCTTGGAACTTGACAACACAGCACCAAAAGCCTCCAGCCGCCCCATTCTTTGTCCCTCAGCATGATGTAAACCCAGCCCAAGTAGGCAGTCAGGAGGTGTTTTTCAGTGTGTCCCCCTTGTGATCTGTAAGGGTGCCTGCCAACTGCGAAGAAGTTTCATAATAAGGGACTTAATTGAGGAGGTGCCAATTGACGTTGGAAATAAGATTTATTGCTGTTAATCCTTTGGAGTAATCCGGGGTTGACTAGTTTTTTTTCAAACTATATATTCCGGTTAATACCATGTTCAACTATTTTCCATATAAAATTAAAAAATAAAAATCTGGTATACAAGAGGGGTTGTAGAAGACTGAGTTGAGGAATTTATGTGAATAGGAAAACAGACTTGTAGATCTTTAGGGAACAAGTGTCAAGAGGTTTCTGGAAAAAAAGAAAGACCTACAAATTACCAAGGCAGTTTTCTTAAGTTTGAAGCAGGGGAAACGGTAACACAGCAACCGACCGAAAAAGCTATGCCAGAACCCTCCCTTTTAAGGAGCTAAGATTGTGCTCAAATTCTTTGTGTAATTTACTGGGACTTGGGGACCAGAAAGACCACTGCAAGCATATTCTTCAGAACCCAGATTAGGGGAAAAGTTTTATTCCTTGGGTGCAAAGTTACTGCTATATTCATCTTAATAAACAAACTAAATGACTTGGCAGGAAGCCAAGTGTGACCCACACATTTCTAAAGAAATGGCCAGAGATCAAAGATGATTATTTTCATCTCTTATAATTGAAGAAATATTTGTCTTGTTTTCCTGTTGCCCAAGGTTGGAGTTCTTTTCCTCCTTCTGGTATGTTGCCTCGAAACCCATGTGCCATTTCCACCACAAAGCTCCCTGGATTCTCCAGAGACAGAACTAATAGGAGATATATATATATATGTACACATATACACACACACAGTATATCAATATGAAATATATGAATACATAATCATATATAGTATGTATTATATAATATAAATATTTGCATATTATATATAATGAAGATAATTATGTTGTATATTATATATAATATATTGTGTATATATATGTTCATATATATTGTAAATACAGCTCTTCCTTGACTTACGGTAGTGTTACATCCTGATAAGCCCATTACAATTTGAAATTATTTTAAGTCGAAGATGCATTTCATACACCTAACCTGCCAAGCATCATAGCTTAGCCTAGCCTACCTTACACATGCTCAGGACACTGACATTAGCCTACAGTCAGGCAAAATTATCTAACACAAAGCCTACTGTATAATACAGTGTTGAATATCTCATGTAATTTATTAAATTCTGTACTGAAAGTGAAACAGAGTGTCTGGGTAGAGAATGGTTGTCAGTGTATCAGTTGTTCGTCCTGTTGGTGGCGTGGCTGCCTGGGAGCAGCCCAGCATCACAAGAGAATATCTTACTGTGTGCTAGCCCTGGAAAAGATCAAGGTTTCTACTGAATGTGTATCACTTTCACACCATCATAAAGTTGAAAAATCCTAAGTGGAACCCCGGGGGGACCATCTGCATTTATCATGATGAATTGGCTCATGCAATGGTGGAGGAGAAGAAGTCCTGCTACAGCTGCCGTCTGTGAGCCGCAGACCCAGGAAAACCGCTGGTGTCGTTCCGTCCAAGTCGGAAGCCCTGGGGACCGGGAGAGCCAATGGTGTGAGTCCCATTGAAGGGCAGAAGACACATGTCCTAGGTCAGCAGTCAGGCAGAGAGAGTAGAATTGTTCCTTTCTCGGCCTTTTCTGTTC